TACTGTTAATTAATAATAATAATAATAATAATAATTAAGAAAGAACTTAAAGAAAAGAAAAAAAGAAAAAGGAATTAAAGAGGAATACGTGATATAGGATTAACTACACATATCAATTAACAATGAATAAATAATACTGTTCGAAAAATAAAAACAAATTTAATTCTCTTTATTTCTTCATCTACGATGTGTAATTAACTTATATAATTAATTTATGTTAAAAATAATATATATATTTATATATAGGGCAATTTCTTTCTTTAAACATTTTTTACTAAGATTGTAAACAAAAGAGATATTCAAGGTAGACAGAATTATTGCCGCACCCTGATATTTAAGAGTAGTACGTGTTACCGAGACCATTTAAAATATATATATATAATCTAATAATATATTAAAATATAATATTGAAATTGTACAGTTATATTGTTATGACTTTAAATTAATAAAAAATAAAATATATCTTAGCTTATAATCGACAGATTAGATTTGTTTAATTAAATAAGAGGTAATATTTAAATAAACTTCATGCTGATATAAAATCTTTATTACAAAAAATAAATTAATTCACTCTACATATACAAAAATACATAACTAGTTAATATTAATAATACTCTCTTTCTTTCTCTCTCTCTCTCTCTTTCTCTCTTTTGCGATAATCTTATAAATAGATTTTTAATTAATAATAGATGAAAAATGAATATGATAGTATATTCGGTACTACCATATTACAAATATTACATATGCAAGTGTATGTTTATGTTTGTTTGTGATTCTTTTTGTGTGGTTGTGCACGCATCTATAAGTCACCGCATATTATTTTTTTTTGAAAATTCATTTAATACAAAACATATTTACTATGCGGTGTGAATAAAAAATACTTTCAATGAGAAACAATTGTATGCGTAGAACTCTGAAGAAAATATTTAAGCATCCATTGTCATTATGTGAATAAATTATGACGATAGTTGCATTAAAAAGAATTGTGAACGTGTTGTTTTCGACAAAACATGCATTTCAAAATATTTTTGCATAGAAAATTTCAAGGTATATGTTTACGCATGCATGTTAAAAAAGTTCATTCAATCATTTTCTCATACATCCTATAAATATATCATATACAATTATAGAAATCTTTTTTATATCGTGCAACGCCAAAAATATACAATACTTTCATTTAATTGCAATTAACAAACAACAAAGAATTATATAATTATTTATTTTTTTAAATTTTGAATATATTAATAACGTTCTGAACGCCATTCCGTTTCGCAAAGAGGCTTGGCGCTTTACACATTAATAATAGTACCAATTTTCTTTTGCCTTGCACATTTAATTTAAAAATTCAAACATCATTGTGAAAAAACTGTAAGCGTCGGTGAGACAACTTTTGTTATCTTGTTTTTTTTTTTTTTTGACCATATTTATACAGAAAAATACTCTATAGTCGTCTTTAGACGGCCAAGTATTAACATTTACACTAAAATTGCATTTTAATATATAATTTTCATTTATTTTATTTCTTTTTCTATTTTTTTTTTTTTTTATTTATTTTGCTTCATTTTGTTCTCTTAAAGTCTAATAAGACTCTTTGTACCTACTTTTTTTTTGTTTTTAAAAAAGAAAGAAAGATCCAATAAAGATCCAGTCTTGGGGGATAAAATATTACATTCAAACACACTTTGCGGAAACATATTACTTATTTTCCTATTTTTTTTATTATTGGATCTATATCTCTTTCTCTTTCTCTTTTTACCTCAATCTCTCTCTATATTTTTATTATCTAATTATATACATATATTATATATATGTATACAATTAGACAATTATAAAATCATGGCATAAGAAACAATAATAAAACTAATGTATTTTTTTTTTTCTCTTTCGTTATAGATATGTGTTTCATTTTCTTGCTTTTAATTTTATTAATTTGCTTAAATTTTAATTATATTGTATAATTAGTACTCTGATGAGCATCCGGAAAATTGTACTTTAAAGTTTTCATTTAAAATTCTATGATTTAAGTTTACCATTGTATCTATCAATCGTGTAAACGTCAAAAAGGAACACTACTAAACGCTAATGCTAACTTTTTAACTTATAAATGTTGTCAACTTATAAGTCGGTAAAATATAAAAATTCATTTTCTAATAGTGTTATAATAATAAAGTGCGCTATTTAATTTACAAACGTCTAGCCTCTTCTAACTACGCTTTTTTGCTTTTGTCTAAACTTAGATTTAAAAGCTATATTGCATATCGGTATTATTATATTTAATACATATTTCAACAATTAGTTTTGTACTTGTTTTGGGTTTTCCATTTGTTCTATTCTCTCTCTATATTGAGAATCTAGTTCTCTAAACTTTGTTTGCATTTGTTTTTTATGAGCGCTAATGACTTCGTCATATCTTTTTTGTACTTGTATAATGGCTTTTTTGTATCCCTCTTCTAAACGCTTGTGCTCGCTTTGAATGAACTCGTCTTTTTTCTTTGCAAACTCCTGCAACAGATACGAAAACGTCTAAAACTGATGGAATAGAATAAAAAAGAATATATTCCTTTAATATATTTCTTATATTTTAATATAATCATATTCATTCTTACCTTATAATTAATGCCTGTTTTCTTGGCTACCCTATATTTATGTTTTAGCATATTTATATTTTGTTTAGCCTCCCTTTCCTTTTCCTTCAATGCCTCACTTTCCAATCTTAGATTCTTTTCCGTTTCCTTCAACTTTTCTATCTCATCCTTCAATGCGTTACTTTCCAATCTTAGATTCTTTTCTATTTCCTTCAACTTTTCTATCTCGTCCTTCAATGCGTTACTCTCCAATCTAAGATTCTTTCCCGTTTCGTTCAACTTTTTGATCTCATCCTTCATACTTTCTTCCTTTGCCTTGACATCTCGGATTTCGGCGACCCAACCGGTCATCAACTGAGCCATCACATTTCTCTCCTCTCCTATAACGTTTTCCTGTTGTTTCAATTTTTCTTCCAATTTTTCTATGTGAACCTTTCTCGCCAACAATGCTTCGCAATAAACGTTTAATTTGTTTTCTATTAGTTTGCTAACAGCTTCCTCTTTTGTTATGAAGGCCGTGTAAGAAGCCGCTTCGGTTTCTTTCTTTAAGCTCTGCTTTAACGTTTCCATTTCCTTTTCCTTCTGCAATAATAATACCTTGTACCTTTCTTCAAATTCTTTCCTCTTATCGCGATTTTGCGTTTCTATAGCTCTTAGCTCTTGAGTAACCTTTTGTTCCATCTCTTCTCTAACTTCTTTTATCACCATTTCTCTGATCTTTTGTAAATCCGTTTCGTCTCCTAAAGTACGAGGGGATAAATTCAATTCCGCCGAGACTTGTCTTTGATTTTTCACACATTCCTCGAAACGTTTCGCTTGATTATTTAATTTCACTAACAGGAGATCCCTTTCCTTTGTAACCCTATCCAAATCGTTTATTTTATTAAGCATTTTATTTTTCTCTTCTAAATCTTCTTCGAGTCTCTTTATCCTTTTCTTCAAGTTATCGCATTCCTGTACCTTCCCTTTCAAATCGTCCAACTGATCGCTCAATTTTTCCCCTAAATCTTTGTATTGATACAATTCCTTTTCCAATTTATGTCTCGTACTCGAGGATGTTACCTCGTTTTTCGTCTTATTTTCTAAACTTTGATAAATTTTTTTAGATTCCAACAATTCTAATTCCAATCGAATTATTTTATCCCTAAACGCGTTTTTTTCGCTCAACAACGTTTCGCAACGACTCTTTAAACCCTCATTTTCTATTTGTACCCTCGTTATCTTTAATTTAATCTCATCGGAATCGTCTCTCTTTAATTTTTGATTCAATATCGAGAGCTGAGAATCCAAGGAAGACATGCGCGCAAAAAATTCGTTTCTTTCTGTAATCGCGTTTTCATATTTCTTCTTCCAAGATTCCTGACAAATTTCCATTTGCGCGATCCTCAATCTCGTATCATCTAATTCCGTTTGATACTCCGATAATTTTTTATGATCCTCTTCCGCCATTCGACATCTCTCTTCTAATTTAACATTCTCTTCTTCGAGCTATTAGAAAAGATATAAATACAATTACAATTACATACAAAGAAGTAAGAATTTATTAAACCGTACTCGTATTAATAAAGTCAAGTAAACTTACTTGATTGATTCTTTGCAAATGTTCGGAACAATGGTCAGGTAATAACACACTTATTTCTTGATTAGGATGCGCATTTCTTAATTCCTTCAATGCCTCTTCTTTCGCTATAATATTTCCAAAATATAATAATTAATAAATTGTTTTATTATATATTTATATCATTATATTATTTTTACCTCTTTCTATCTCGTGATGTATCTTTTTAGTATATTCCTCTTTCTTTCTCTTTTCCATAGCCAAATCTTTTTCTAATTCCATTATTTTAATTTTATAACTTTCACAGTCCTTATTCGACTTGTCGATAAATTTTTTTTGCATTTCCAATTCGTATTTTAATCTTTCCACATCTTTTTGATGCTCGTCCAAACTAGCGTATTTTTCTTTCAACATTTTTATTTCTTCTTTATGCTCGTTGATCAATTGCTCCTTCGTACCGCAAACGTCTATATACAACTTCTTAACGTGATCTAATTCTTTTTGCGTTTGTTCTAATTGTATACTGTCAATTAAATTATAAAAGAAAATTATTTGCGATCAAATCTAGAATCTCTAATAAATAACGTAAAATTGTATTACATTTTTACTTACTTTAATTGTACTATTTCCAGTTTGGCTTCCTCTCTGACTCTTTCAACAGCTTTAGCGTGTATTTCTAAATATTCTTTGTTGTACTCTTCGACGAACTCTTTCTCTTGCACCTTCGTAGTCTCTTGATGCAATTTATTTAAAGTCTCTTGAGAAATAGCCTCCGCCTCTTCCAACTTTTGTTCTAAATTTAATTTTTCTTTCTTTAACAGTTCATATTGTTTTTCCACCTCGTTCAAATGTCCAGATAATTTTTGGATTTGAGCATTCGCTTTCAATGCTTCGTCGGTAAGAACTAACTTAAGTTCTTGCTCTAATTCGCTAACGCGTTTAGCGTATTTAGTCGTTTCTTGTCTACACGACTCAGCTACCGCGGATGCTTTTGCGAGTTCTTCTTCCTTTTGCGACAATGTATTTTCTAAACGCGTTATTTCTTTTCTTTTTACAGCTTGTCCCGCTAAACATCTGAAAACACGTGAATAGAATGTATATAAATATTTGATACGCATAACGCGTACGGAACCACCCTGGCGCAACCCTTTTACCTTTGCAATTCACCCCTTAATTTATTTGTGATATCATCTATTGGCTTCGACCTGGATTTGTTATGAAAATCCCCTAATTTCATTTGTCTTATAGAATCGGATTCTTCTTCGAACGTTGTCGCCAATGAATCGTATTGCATTGACTCATTCTTGGCCACTTCTAATTTATTCTGTAGATATTACAAAAAAAAAACACATACAATGTAATTAACATACGTTATATAAATGTGTGTCGAACAATCGTATATCATAATTTCCAATTTAATTACTTGTAAATCTTGAATGGTCTTCAACATATCTTCTTTTTCTTGAGACAACATTTTAATTTGAGATTGAAGTTGCAATATTTGTTGATCATTGTTCCCCATTAGATTACGACATTGAGATTGACTTTTTTCCAATGCTTGACCAAGACGATTGACGATATCGCCTTTCTCTACTATCAGAGCTTCGTGAGATCTTCTAACATCTGCCAATTTGTGTTCCAAAGCTGTGTACGACTCTTCCTATTGTAAATAAACGTAACAGATTTTTCATAGATTATTTGAGATAAAATATATTTTTAACATTATATAATATTAACATAATTACCTTCGCATTAAACTTATCCGTAAGTACATCTATCTGAGTTTGCATATTTCTTATTTCCACTGCGTGTTTTTCTTGAGCTTGTTTCAAAAATTTCTCGTGAACTTTGTCACTCGATTGCAACGCGTGTACCCGTTCCAAGACGTTAACTTTTTGTTGAAGATCCACTACGGAATCTTTCGTGATGGCTAATTCCTCAGCCATCTAAAATAAATACTCTTTTGAGATATTCTTTAAATCGTTTATACAATATATTAATAATATGCGTTAAAGTGAATGATATTTTTTCCTTACGTTTTGATTCGTGGTCTCTAAAACGGCATTTTTTTCTTTCAACGATGTCATTTGTCCTTGAAGATCTATAATTTCCGCCTTGGCGTCGACTGTAAAGTAAGTTTGGAAAAATGATTTTTAATAAACTTAATGGTCGTGCAACAACACAGCGTTGTTTTTTAATGCTTACAAATACATGCACCAAATGTGTTTATCATTACTTTTAAACGAATGAAAAAAAGAAGAAAAAAACAATGATATAACGATATAATAGACATAATCAAGTCCACGATTTTAATCCAAATAATAATTCTTACTTAGAGCATGTTGCGCTTGATTCCTAGATATGTTTGATCTTTCAACTTCTGCCTGCAACAACACTACCTTACGATTAAATTGATCTATCTCTGTTTCTTTCTGCTGTTGTAGCTGTTGCAACTTTTCGGTCAATTGCTTTATCTCTTTCATCCTAATCGTATATAAAACTTCGAGTTGTTCCTTGCTACTATACTCGGCATTTTTATATATCGTGTTATCGTCAATTAACCATTTTCCATTTGGACTAATTTTAAAACGGTGATTGATCTCTTCCGAAGTAACGTTATCACCCCCGCCAAACTCGTGAATCTGTTTGGATTGTACATTGTTCCCATAATTTTCGATATAACCATTATTAACATAATGTTTGTCATGATTGTTATAATGATTAGACGGGGTTTCATAGTGAAGATAATTGTCGTTAAACGTATAACCATCCTCCGCACGACTTGCCAGATCTCTAGGACAATAACTAGAATTTGGAAGTCTTGCCAATTCGTACGAACTTTCCGTCGTTAAATTATCCCCTTCTACAGATTTATTATTTTTATCTCTTTGAATGTCAGAAGTATTCAATCCAATATCAGATTCCATCCTATAATTTTTCGTCGCGTCGTGATTATAATTCATCGAATTGTCTACATGGTCGTACGCTCCAGAATCATTAGATAATTGCGTTTTGAAAGGTAATCTCGGTTTAGTCATATTGGTATGTTCATTTTCTTTGGCACTGCACTGATGACTACTATTAACGGAACTGATATCATTATCATCATCATCATCATCATCATCATCATCATCGTCGTCGTCGTCGTCGTCGTCATTTTCTAAATCGTCGAATGCATTGGTCAACATATTATCGATCTAAAAATAAAACGATACGGATTCAAATATTAAAGTATCAGTTAAGCTATATAATAAACCTTATTAACAATTATAAGGCTGGACAAATTAATGGTAATAATAACAAACAACAGCGTAAACAAATGTAAATGTTAATACCTCTTTAGTACGTCGTTTAAGATCCTCCTTTTCTTCATCTTCCTCTAATCTTTCTTTGCTGATATTTAACTGTAAACTGTCAGAACCTAGAAATAGGCTTATACCTGTTCCCTCCATTCTCTCCTTCTAATTCTCACTGATTTATTACACAACCCAGACATTTATGTAAAACATATTTTTGTTTATAGGACCATAACCTAAACGCAACAAGTGGGTCAAAGAGATAATGTTTTTAACTAATCTAAGCACAAATAATAATTAAACAAAATATTTAAATATAATCATTTTGAATGGGTTTTGATAAAACCTCGTAGATTAAAAGGCCACAATCGATGATCAATTTATTAACTATTGTTATGCACTAAGTTTGCTTGTAAACAATCTTTCAAAAGTCAAACACCATTATGTAGGAAGCGTGCATACGGAAGTTAATTCTTTATAATCTTTTATGGCTTATCATTGGCTAATACTTTTATGTTGTATTCATAAATGCATTGAAAAGACGCCATTATTATAAATATAGCTAACATTAAAATCATTTAGATCAGGCTAAGCCAATAATACACTTTCAATCATATCACTCCTCCACATCTTTTCCCGCCATTTTATTAACTTTTTCATATCTCTAATAACAAATGTCGAGATAATATTCTTAATTAATTAAGTAAAACAAAAGATAATAGATTTATCGTTCGCATATAATCCTATTAATTATAATTTCATTTCTTTTATTAATATTTATCAAAAGTGAAATAATTCATTGGAAACGTTGATTGAGTTTAGAGACGCCAGGTGGCGCTGTGCATCGCTATGCATTGCTATGCATCGCTTGTCAACCTTAACCTTTTCTATAATAAACGTTCCTAAGATCAAGTCGGCATTTATTAACTCATCAATAAGGTTAATTCGTTATTCTAATTAAATATCAAGTATTAAAAACGTATTGATATTGAATAATAAATAATATTGTGTTATTAATAAAATAAATATCAGTGACAATTACTATGACGTACTTGAACTCGTGGGAAGAATTTGAAAAGGGTGCGGAGAGGTTATATCTTCAGAATCCGATGAAAGTAAGTTTATCACACATCTGGAGAATTAGAAAATTCATTCTATTTCTCTATTTTTTATTTTTCCTTCTTTGCGATTTCTTTTTATCAAAATAATATTAATTTTAATGATTTAACCCTTTCGTTACTAACGACCCATATGCAAGTTTTCATACATTTAAAGATCCCATATGAACGACTATATAACGAACCCATTTAATGGTTCCACCATGGAACGATATTTACGTCAAAGTATACAATAACGAAAGGATTAAGAGCATATCTTATTAGCATAATTGTGAATATCAAATTACTGTGCCACTTATTTATGCTTCCAAGATATTTCAAAGTTGTGTCGTTCAATTGTTTAGAATAACAATTTATGATTGTATTGTATGATTTAATAACGAGAATAATACATCATTCACATAGACACAAAAGAATACATTTCGTTTGATTTTTTTTTCTTTTTTTTTTTTTTAATAATTATTATTAACAATAATCATTGCACGGTTTTGAGTTTAGATTAATAATAATACATAGTTCATGCACAAGGACGTAGATGATTGATTGTTATATTATAATAGGTTTAATTATATATATTTTCAGAATAATTCGTTGAAATATTTGATTATAATGGTATATCATTATTATATTAATTATTATTATTATTATTATTATTATTATTATCATTCTATTTCATAGGCTCGATATTCTATGAAATATTGCCATAACAAAGGCGTACTATGGCTCAAACTAACAGACAATTGCACGGTGAGTAATATCTCCCTGTGATTTTAAATGAATTTATTTTCAAATCATTTATCAAGTTACATTTTATTTCGATTAAAACATATAATAGTTAACCATTTACGGGCTTGCTTTTTTTTTTGTTCCGCAGTGTCTTCAATATAAGACGGAGATAGCTCAAGATTTGAAGAAAATGGAAAAATTTATAGGAAATCTAATGAGGCATATGGCATCGAAAGACAGTTGAACTGACCAACAGGGATGGTGTGTGTCTTGTTATTTGTAAGAGAACGAATATATATATATATATAAACTTTTTAAATAATATAAATAAGATGTAAAAGAGACACAGTGCATTCGGTTTCGTTTAGTAAAATTTTTGTTGTTTCATGCGTCGTGTGTATATATCATAAAATTGAAGAGTGCAACGTGTTACGTCTACGATTACAGATTGTTTTTTTTTTTTTCTTTTTTACTTTCATGAGAGGTATAAAAAATTTTCTTAAATATACAATATGTGCATTAACTTCGGTTTTTGAATTATTATTATTTTATTATTTAAAGCTTCATGCTCATTTCTGGTAGCTCCTTTGCCTCCTTGTTAAGGTTCTGTAAAAAGAAATAAAAAAAGAAGAAAAGAAAGAAAGAAAAATATATTATGCAAGATTCTTTTTTATTATTATCTTTTCAAAATGTATATTGGTTGTTAAACTAAAATTATTTATAAATCACATTCGCAGTACGATAAACGAGGTGCAATAGAATATTAACCCTTTGACTGCGAAATTTTCAGAGTTGAAATAATTGCCGAGGATGAAATGCATTTCCACATTAGTGTGGATTATATTAATGTAGTAATAAAGTATATAGCACGCAATATCAAGTTACTATTAATTTGTCAACGCCAAATCGAAATAATTTTCATTAAAAAGTAAAGTGTAAAAGAGTGAAAATTGTTGGACGCACATACGCGTTCATAGTCCACACCGATAGCCTTCCCTGGGCGCATATATGTGTCCATAGCAGTCAAAGGGTTAATAAAGCTAAATTTAGATAGAGAGTAAGCACAAAGCAAGCACTTACGATATAATTGGCTGAAGAACAGCATCCAGAGTAGTGTCAACAGGAGGGTAGATGTCTTGATTCGAAGATAGTTCGTAGTGCACCTCTCCCCCTAATTGCAATTGCGTCTATACCAAAGAAAACTATTTTTACTAATCTACTATAAAAAAGGGGAATAAGAACGATATTGTGAACGTGAAATGTGTAACGTGTGATCTACTTAATTAGTATTAATATTATTATTATTATTATTACATGGGAATGATTAAGAGAAAATTAATTAGCCAAGCTAGTAAAACTATGTGTTTCTCTCTTCGTACCCAAACCGGTGAGTAAATAATAAAATATCCCTGATTTGTTTTTGCACGCAAGATGAACTACAATTAAGCATAAGAGGGAGTGTTTACCCATTTATTGTGCATCACGCAAGAAATAGATCAAACATTAATTATACATTCTTCATTATCTCTTGCCTGTGAATTTGATTTAATTTCAAGAAAATAGATATTCATAATTCTACTTTTAATACATTGTTCTTATGCAAAACACAATGGGTCACACACTGGAGGTATCGGATAAGCAATGAGAAACAAAAATTCGTATAGATGTTTAACAAAAAAAAAACAAAAAATGAAAAATGAAAAGCAAGCATAAGAGGATATACGTACTACACGAGTGGGCTTGGTGCTGTCGGCTGAGCTTGAGCAGCAGCTGGAAAATTCTTGAGGCGTACTTTCACCGAGTCCGCTGTCCACGTTACTCCCTATTAATATTCTGTTGTTACGGGTATAATAAAAGTCCCTCCTCGCATTATACTCGTTCCTAGCATCCGGATACTTTGTCTCTATTTGACTGGATCTCGTAGTTGGGAAATTATAACTTCCATCGCGAATATGTTGAATCACTCTTCTGTCTCTTTTCCCGAGCGATCCGACCGTTCTGAAATTTAATCCTTGACAAATTTCGGCTTACTCAGTCTTTTCAGGACGTTCTTCTTAAAAACTTTTTTTTCTTTTTTTTTTTTTTTTCGTAATAGTTCAACAAATGTCCCTTTTTAATAAACGCTGATTAATCTATACGCATTTGTGTTAACGATATAACGTGTAAGTCAATATTTCGATGATTTTTTTCGGTTCAATTTAAATTCTTATTACCAATGGCAAACGCGTAATAAGTAAAAAAAATAAGAAAAGTATTAACTATACATATATCATATAAAAATCATAAACCCCAAATCATATATTCAGCCTAGCCTTTTTCTTTTTTTTTTTTTTTTTTTTTTTTTTTTTTTTTTTTTTTTTTTTTTTTTTTTTTTTTTTTTTGTACATATACACACACACACCACGCACGCACACACATAACATAATATCAAGAAAAATAAGATTAATGAATATACACACCACAAATAATAATAATAACAGGCAACAATAAAACATAACAAAAACAGAATAAAGGACACTAATGAAGAAAAAAATTAATAAACACACAGGACAAGAATGGAATCATAATGCACTGCACAAATTTACGGAATAAAAAATACAAACACACAACGACGTCGCGCGTTTAATCCCAATACAATAATTTTGATATAAATGCGGAGTATAATATAAAGCGTCACGAGGGGTGCCAGCACGCTAAAGGTAAAAAAAATAATACACACAGGTGCGACGCAAGCTGTTAATTTTCACAGATTTATTAAAGGATTTTTGTCATGCTTTCGAATAAATAATAAAAGAGGCATGCTTAAAAATTAGAGATAATTATATATAAAAAAAAAATAAAAAATAAAAAACAATAATTGTTGTACGCATGCTCTCTAAATAAATTAATAATTAAAATGTAGAAAATATAAAAAAATAAAAAGTACAAGACCATGCATGGGTAAAAAAAATGGTAAATCTAAGTATCTAAACAATGACTACGGATCCAGTTTCATCCTCCGTTTGAGGAGGATGGACGTGGAGGTTGCAGGCCGTCTTGAGATCATCGTACCTAGGCAGGGACGATGTTTCTGCATCGTCCAAACGTGAATTGCTAGATTGTAGGGGACATTGCTGTACAGATTGCGATTGTACCACCGTATAAGGAATCTCTCGACGTTGTTGTTCACTCATTCCAGTGGTATCGACTAGGCCAAACTCCAAATGTCTGGAAAATGTGCATCTTCGTTATAAAAAAAAAAAAAAAAAAAAGAAAGAAGAAGAAAATGTAATAACACGTTGTTGTACAATTGGATAAGTAAAACTTGATGATAAGTAGGATGTACTATATATATATATAATAAAAGTATGATAGAAATATGTATATAATCAAGGATTCGCATAAATTACATTTTGTTCGATAACAGAACTATCCGTTTATATATTATACCAAAGTACGTTGAGTAATCGTATGATAATAATATATATTTATAAATATATATAATGAAGGTTTTTGCATAGAATATGGTGCTCTCTCTGTGCAAAAGAGTTGTTTGTATCCGGTTTCGTTCGTATAATCAATTACATAAAAGTAACATACTTTCTAAGCTCATCCGGCAGTGGTTGCTTTTGGGAAGGACTCCTGTGTCTACTTCTGTGCCTTCTTCTAGGTTCCGTATGACTTACCTACGTAAACGAATGAAGATAAAAATCTTTGTTTTTTGTTCGTTCATTATTATTCATTAAAATCTGTTGGAATTTTTAATATTTCTACTCACAATGGCTCTTTGTACGCCTTCACCTTTACGCCTTTGTGCTTCTCTCCATTGAGGCTCTGAATCTACCAATTCGTGTCTGTAATAAAAACATCGTGAAAATATTTACTATATTATTATTTTCTCTAATCGGCAATAATTTTTTTCTTTTTTTCTTTTTTTCTTTATTAGATATACGTTCATTTTTTTTTTCTTTTATTTCTTTTTTCTAATCTTGAGAAAAATATTAACACACAGTAGTTCGTTCCCACGCGCTAGGTCATTAATATAGTGATTACCTCACGCATTTTAATTTATCCTACCGTGAGAATATAACGAACGGTACGAGGGATATTACAAGAAGAAGAGTATTCTTCCCTTTTTATTTTTCAGGGTCGGCGAACTTAATTTATATATTTCGAATAAGAAGAAGATTTTTCTCAAGATTTTTCTATTACTTATTCCCCCTTCGTATTCTTATGAAAATGTTAAAAAGTACCTAGAAGAACGGGAACTCCTGTGCTTTCTACGATGTTTCCTATGTCCTGATCGAGTATCCGATCCTCTGGATAATTCAGACTCGCAATCGGAATGTCTACTGTGTCTTCGATGACTATGACTATGACTTCTTCTACGATGACCACCACGACTGTGACTGTCCCCGGAACTTTGACTCTCGACGGAGCTGCTCCTTCGTTGGAGTCTGCTCAAGAGCTAAAACAAAAAAAAAAACAAAAAATATAACAAATATTAAAAAGTCAATTACACACAATTTATAGGATGAATAATAATTATCGCGTATAAATAGGTCGTTGTTGTAATTTTTGATTTGTTTATAAGAAATTACCGCCGGTGCCGTTCCTGCTGAACGAACGGATCGAGGACTAGACGAAGTGTAAAGCCCACGTGGTTGACTCTGAGTCCATGGAGCACTTCTGATACTTCTAGGACTAGAGCTACTACTAACTTGTCTGTTACTTTGAGGATTGCACAAAACGTTACCACCGTTACCAGGTGGATTATTACAAGAATTGGGTGCACCAATCGTTGTTGTAGCTGGACCTTCGACAAATGGTCCAACCATTTCCTGACCTTCCACCACTCGTCTTTGAGCTCTTCGACTAGGTGTCCTTTGAAATGCAGGTGCTGGATTTCTTCTTATCGAAGTGGCATGCTTTTCGGTACCACTTGGTGGACTATACGAACGGAAACGCGAATACGGACTAAGCGGTGGGGGACCGGTTGCCATTAATCGGAAAAATGCTTGATGTTCCAAACAACATTTCCAAAGGTGCCGACAAGCTCCCTTCGATGGGGTTTTAAAACCGTGCGTCCTCTCTTCGGAATTTTTTTCGCTGACCCTCAACATAAAATATCTGCCCTGAAATAATAGAATGGAAAACATGTATAATCGAATAAAAGCAAATTTATTTATATCTCCTGGTTTCCTTTTATATTATCTTTCTTTTACTTCATTAAATACTTCACACACACATCCGGATACTTTAAAATAATATTATTTATTCATCAATTTATACGTATATATATAAGCTCGTTCTCTCTCTCTCTCTTTTTCTTTCTTTCTTTCTACTTTAACAAGAGATAGGAAATGTATAATAACGAAACGATATACTTACTTTGTAATAGATTTTATTGATTCTGGGCCAGTAGTAATTGCCCACTTTGGTCTTGTTGCGCAAGAGTATTATACCGCTCGGCGTCAGGCCCAGAAAATACTCAACGCTATCCTCACCCTAAGGATGAAAATTATGGTCTTTCACTGGAGTATTATCAAGAGTTTAACATCGTCCTTCCCCACCCCCGCCTTCCCTACCCTCCTTTCTCTGTATGTAACATATACACTTACTGGCAAGAGTTTTTTTACAGAAAAGAAAATGAATTTTTCTTCGTAAGAGAAAGTTTCAATGATTTTTTTTTTTTTCAACGATGCTTTAAATTATTTCATTTCGATATTGATGAATTAAAAATTGAATGGTCGCGATCAATTTTAATTGTTTATTTCTTTTTTTTTTTTCTTTTGTATACTTGTATTAAACTTTTGCCAGTGATTGTACAATACACGTATGAAATGAAATGCAATATACACAAACCAATACTGGATGCAAGTCGACTCCGTACATCTCGAGCCACTTTACTTTATCGAGATAATTCAGTTCTGCAGCTGCTGGCAATTGTCCTCTGAAATAGGCGAAATAATTGAGAAATCAAAATATGGAATCTTTTTGATTAAAATATTAATCTCATCGTTTTTTTCTCCTTTTTTTTTTAAATAAATAAATAACTTACACGAGTGTCTTGTGAAGTTCAACTATTCGATTTTCCAATTCGGCTGTTTGATTAGCAAGAAATCGAAATTCCGTAACGTAGCCTAAGGAGTGTCTTCTTGGATCGTAATCGCCCAATTCAGCTAAAAAAAACATGCGCATAATGATTCAATTAATTTTTCAATTTAATATCTTCATCTTCTTTATTTATTATAATATATATATAAATATTCTTCTTTATTTATTATATATATATATTTAATTTAATATAACAACTCTTATATATATATAAATATTAGCAAAGGTGGCCAATAATATTTTCTCAATATTATATATAATAAATTATAAATTATAAATTTTTAATTTATATTTTAATAATTTCTTCTCTCTCTCTTCTTTATAATTTCTTTATATATATATATATATATATATATTTACGTAAGTACTTATTTATACAAAGAGATAGATATATAGATAAAAATAAAGAGAGAGAAAGATAGGTCCCCCCCCCCTTCCTCGGGGACCTGTAGATTTTTATTAAAATAACCATACTCGCTTATAGTTGCCAACCAAAAAATTCGCAATTATTATTTGCCAATCTAATAATTGTACATAATATTTGTAAGTTCACCGAGCTGATTTGAATGTGAGGAGGAGGAGGAGGAGGAGGAGGAGGAGGTGGAGGATTCCCGAGGTTTAGGTTGGCAAAATACACGCGCATTAGTTATCTCCCGCGAGATTCAAAGTCATGCAAATAGAGAAAAAAGGGAGTCTGTGTGAAGGGAAGATACATAGATGTGTTCTATCTCTCTTTCTCTCTCTTTCTTTCTTTCGCACTATGTTTGCGTCTCATGGAACTTGAAAAGAAACTAAATGAAAGAGCTTTTCTTCGGTTACTCTCTTCGAATACGTTTGACAACGAAAGACGGAAAGAGAGAAAAAAGAGAGAAAAAGAGAGAGAGAGAGAGAGAAGGAAGAGACCAAGTGCGTCTTGCAATTGATGGTAGGAAAGATTTACCAAGAAGAAGAAAAAGTAGAAAAAGCTGGACAAGCATTTATTTTTTGTTTGTTTTTAATAGAAACAGAGATAAGTCTGTCTCTATTTCTTTTATGAACGATGAAAGACTCTCCTCATATATACCAACTTCTATTTGATATACTAATGAAGTTTGTCTTTTAGTTTCTTACGAAATTTAAACAAAGAAACATTTCAAACTAGACCAGTAGAAAAGTAAATAAGCAAACAAACAAACAAATAAGCAACCAACTAAGCAAGTTTCTTGTTATTACATAAAGTAATAAATAACGTAATAATGTGAATTAGAAATAAGAAGAATAAAAAGAAGAAGAAGAGGAGAAAGAGGAAGAAGAAGAAAAATGGTCGAAGGTTATTAGGTAAAAGAAAAGTAACCGTTAGTTGGGGGAGGGGTAGAGGGAAGGGGGGTATATAGTAGCGAAGATAATCGGTTAGGGTTTCTTGACGATGAAGGTACGAAGGTAGGATGTCCGGTAATTATACAAACGAACGAGCTTACAAGAGTAGACGACGGTGACGACAAGTAAAAAAGGTGCAACGATGTCTTTTTTTTCTTCTTCCTTCTTCTTCTTCTTCCTTCTCTACTTTATCCAAGAAGAAGAAGAAGAAGAAGAAGAAGAAGAAGAAGGTTTCGACCAGAAAAGAAAGAAAATAAATTGAAAGGTTTTCTTTCTTTTTCTTTCTCTCTCGCGTTAGTCGGAGCCGATATTCATCAAAGTCAGTGATTCAATTAACGGAGTTGAGGTATGATCTCCTCAGGAGGCTGGATAACCAAGAAGAATAAGAAGAAGAAGAAGATTCTTATAAGGAACGTGGAAAAGAAAGAGAAAAGGAAAGATGTTAAATTTACGCTCGATTCAACGACATTTCAAAATTTCCGATCATGAACAAGTAAATTTGTGACGCGTTAATATATTCTTATAACACTTTATTTAATTATTTAATTATTTAATTATTTTAATTACACACACGCTTTTCATCCCAGATCATCAGAGCAGAATTTTTCTTAATTCGGATGAAGAATGATACGTGATTATCGGAAAATTATAATTTTCATATTTTATATTACGTATAAGTAAAATAATATATTACAATATTAATTGAAAGGGGGGGGTATGATATTTAAATTTTGCCGACAAATATGGCACCGCAAAATGGCCGTAATAATCTACCTCCCTCGTTCTTTTTCTTTCCCCCATAAATATTTTAACGTTCGGTACTTTCGAATGTACACTCGTGAGTATAGTATATATATATATATATATGCGTTTCTTCGAATGAAATATTTCATTTCTGTCCATTTTTGGAGACATCGAGAAAGGTAAAGAAAAATAAAAAGAAAAATAAAAATAAAAAGAAAAATAAAAAGAAGAAGATGAACGTCGCGAGGGAGAGCAGCAAAGCTGAGCTGAGCTTTACTACGGTCCCCTATGGTAAATCCTGTTCGCGTGGGAGTATAATACACCTCGTGGGGTACCATGCAATCTTCCTTAGGAAACCTCTTTGCACTTTTTTACCTACTCAAGAAAAAATACACTATATATTTTTTCTTTCTTAGAAATAAAAGATGTGTTCTATTACTGCTAATACTTTAGAAAAAAGATACTATTTTTTCTTAAAAATAAAAGAGATGCTTTACTACAACTACTACTACTACTACTACTACTACTACTAACTTAATAATAAAATAAAACTTCCAATTTCGTTTATAAATAATAGTTATAGATATGGAATAATTATGATAATGATTTTTCGGATGCAATAACTTACACTGTACGACGTATGCTCCTAATTCTGCTGCCAAATCGAAGGATACCGGTAATCTTCCTTGCAAAATGTCTTGTTTAACTTGCAGAAAGAATTGGTACCTGTGAAAAATATATTTGATAAAATTACGATAATTAATAGAAAAAATAATAGATCGATTATTGATTAAAATTTTGTACGTGTGTGATATAGACAAAATAATTATTATAATTCGTAGTATTCGTGTTGTTTTTTTTTTCTTTTGTATTATAATAATAGTAATGGGGGACGACGACCATGTGGTGGAACACGAGAAAATCCAACGCATGTCAAATAGAAAAAAACATCATTCCAAGGAAGAATAAGAAGAAGAAGAAGAAGAGGGAAAAAGGAAAAAAATGAGGGAAGTAAGGAAACATGAAAAAAAAAAATAAAAAACATATTGAAAAGTGACGTTGAATTTTAGCCAAGGGCTCTCTCTCTCTCTCTTCTCCTCGTCTCGCCGCAAAATTTCAGTTTTACCACGGTCTTTCGCCTTGCGGTTTTCACCGCACCTTGGGGTCTCGTAGAATTATCGTTAAAGGCTTTCCATCCTTTTTTTTATCCCCTTTTTCAATCTCCCCACCTTTTCTTTTACTCTCGCTCTCATTCCCTTTCTTTCTTTCTTTTTCTTTTTCTTTTTCTGTTTGTTTCTATCTCGCTTGCTCTTTCTTTTAATCCCCCTGATTCCACTCGACAGTTTTTTCATTCTCGCCCAGCTCCCCTTCCCTTTTTGTCTTTTTACCTTGCTTCTTATATCTGTCTCTTTCTATCTTATTTCTATCTCAATCCATCCGAAAGGGCTCGAGTCGTACTCGTCACCCTTTGACTTATCTCCTATCCTATTTTCTACTATCCTTTAACATGGAGATTACAAATATTTCTGAAATATTTGTAAAATAATTGACGATGAGATTTGTGTAAGTTTGTAGTATTGACTTTTATTTTCTTATTGAAATAAATTTGGATTGTTTGATGTTTTTATTGAAAAAAAAAAAGATTCATTTAATTTAAAGTAATTATAGATTTTGTAGAGGATTTGTAGTTTCTTATTATAGAAAATATTTGAATTGTTTGATTTGTTTATTGAAATAGATTCATTTAATTTAAAGTAATTRTAGATTTTGTAGAGGATTTGTAGTTTCTTATTATAGAAAATATTTGAATTGTTTGATTTGTTTATTGAAAAAGATTAATTTATTTTAAAGTAATTATAGATTTTGTAGGGGATTTGTAGTTTCCTATTATAGAAAATATTTGAATTGTTTGATTAGTTTATTAAAAAAAATTCATTTAATTAAAATAATTGTAGAGATGATTAGTGGGTATGTAGTTTTTTATTCTAGAAAATATTTGAATTGTTTGATTAGTTTATTGAAATAGATTTATTTATTTAAAAGTAATTGAAAATTTTGTAGAGGATTTGTAGTTTCTTATTATAGAAAATATTTGAATTGTTTGATTAGTTTATTAAAAAAGATTCATTTAATTAAAGTAATTGTAGAGATGATTAGTGGATTTGTAGTTTGACTTTTGTGTTTTTTATTGCAGACAATTAGGATTGTTTGATTTCTTTATTTAGAAAGATTAATATATGAAAAGTATCGTGATACGTAGGCTCGTAATAACCTTAGGAGTGAAACGTTGCTTCGAAGGACCGTTTCGCGAAGTTACGTTCTGACGCAAAAGGGAACTTAAAAATCCTTTCGTGCGTTCGTGGGCGGACATTAGTAAGATAGGCACGACCTCGATATATAGCTCGACCTTTTTTTTTTTTCCTTCTTTCCTTCTTTCTTTCTTTCTTCTTCTACTCCTTCTACTTCTTCCTTTTTCCTTGGTTCGTTCGCGCCCGCGCAAAAGGAGCACACGAACAAAGAGAGAAAAAGAGAAAAAAGTCTTGTAATAGGCGAGTGACTCACAAAGCAAGGCTCGTGCCACCGTAATACAATTTTTACCTCTCACAATACTCTCTCTCTCTCTCTCCGATCATTTTATTTATATTTATTATTACACAAAATTAGTAATAAACGAAGAAGAAAGAGAAGCGACGATCAAATTTTTACGAGATTCAAATAGTTTCGTGGACATACAAAAAAACAACCAAACAATTCGGTACAATCCTACAACAAATATTACAAAATAAAAAGGAGACAGATAGTTTACGAAAAAGAAATTCTTTTTAGGGAAGAAGAAAAAAGCGACGATCAAATTTTTACGAGATTAAAATAGTTTCGTGGAAATACAAAACAAAAAAACAAACAATTAGATAAAACCTTAAAAAATATACAAAATAAAAAGGAAATAAAAAAAGAGACAGATAGTTTACGAAAAAGAAATTGTTTTTGGGGAAGATGAAAAAAGTAGGGATATAGTTGAGTTGAGTTGAGTTAAGTTAAGTTAAGTTGAGTTGAGTCGAATTGAGTTGAGTTTCGTTCGTGGAGTCGGCTAACGTTAGATATAGGAAGGAAAGGAGAGAATATGTTCCCTATAATTTTCATTTTCGGTAGGATAATTGGTGCACGCTGAGTTAATTGGTGGGAGAAGAGCAGAAAGAGAAAGAGAGAGAGAGAAAGAGAGAAAGAAAGAGAGAGAGAGACGAAGGATTATGGTATTCGGTTCGTTGCCTAGAGCAAAATACGAGGATATAATCTATGGGGGCCCCAAGAATAACGTCCAGACTTAGTTGTTAGAAACGAGTCAAAGGAGAGTTTCTCTTTCGATTACAGGGGGACCCTTTAAAAGAGTATTGGGGGGGCGGGAAGGGGAGAGAGAAAGAGAGAGAACTCGGGAGTCTTTTTCTTTTGTTTCTACCACACCACCACCACCACCACCACCATCAACACCACCCACCGATACGTTAAAAGTTCGAAGTTAGACCATGGCCTAACTTACACACGCCATACAACAACAACCCACTTGAAATTATTTTCGAACCAAAGGCCTTCGAATTCTTCTTCTTCTTCTTCTTATTCTTATTCGCATCCACTTGAATTTCATTTTCATTTTTATACTTAACATTCTTTTCTAACTGGACTAAAACTTCTCCACCTATCTATAGAACTAAACCCCCCCCATTCATAGTGTTTGCACGATCTTCATTTCATGGAAAAGTTTTTCGTTAAATGTATAATAAATGATTATAAAAACATGAATAATTTTGCTGTTAACAAAATAATAATATGATTAAAATAATAATATGATTAAAATTATAACATATATA